CCTTCACCTGTGCAGATCTGCATAACACACACTAATATCCCTCCTGCATGTGTGTGTGTGTGTGTGTGTGTGTGTGTGTGTGTGTGTGCAGCTTCGCTTCTCCAAGTGCTCCATCATTCGGCAGTCTGGCCAATCAGGGTGCAGGAGCGAGCTTCGGGAGTCTGGCACAGCAGCAGCAGCAACAGTTACAGCAGCAGCAGCTACAACAACAGCAACTACAACAACAACAACAACAACAACAACAACAGATACAACAACAGCAGCAGCTGCAACAACAACAGCTCCAGCAGCAGCAGCAGCAGCCGTCAGCCTTCAGTGCTCAGAGCGGAGCCTTCAGCGGATTCAGCTCACCTTCAGGTCACACACATGCACATACACACACATGCATGTACATATACACACACATGCGCTCACAAACACACATGCACACACACACACACACATGCATGCACAAACACACATATACCTACATATGCGCGCACACAAGCATGCACACACATTTACACAAACAGAGATGCATACACATGCACATACATATTGACACAAACACACACATGTACACAAACACACACATACATATATGTACACAAACACACGCATGCACACACGCATTCAAAAACACACATGTACACAAACACACACATGCACATACATATACACACAAACACACATGCACATATATATATATATATATATATATATATATACACACACAAACACACACATAAATATGTGTACACAAACACACACATACATACACACACACATGCACATACATATATATATACAAACACACACATGCACATACATATACACACAAACACACACATGCACATACATATACACACAAACACACACATGCACATACATATACACACAAACACACACATGCACATACATATACACACAAACACACACATAAATATGTGTACACAAACACACACATACATACACACACACATGCACATACATATATATATATATACAAACACACACATGCACATACATATACACACAAATACACACATGCACATACATATACACACCAACACACACATGCACATACATATACACACAAACACACACATGCACATACATATACACACCAACACACACATGCACATACATATACACACCAACACACAAACACACACATACATACACAGACACATACACACACACGCACACACGTGCACATGCATGCATGCATAAACGCACACATGCACAAACATATGCATGCACATACACATTTACACAGACACATGCACAAATACACATGCATGAACAAACACCTACATGCACGCACACATATACACAAATACACACACGCATGCACAAAAACACATTTGCACACAAACACACACACACACACACACACACTTCTCCAGCTGTCTGTGTGCGCTCCCCTGAGCTGTGACGATGTTTCTGCTGTGTGAAGGAAATGTTTGAGTAAATGCTGTGCTGAATTCATTCTCCTGTCATGTTTCTCACACTCTGACTGCTGGTGTCTTGTGTTTGCAGGATTCGGAGGCTTTGGGAGCCAAAACACCAACCAGTAAGTGTGTGTGTGTGTGTGTGTGTGTGTGTGTGTAATGTGGTGTGTATGATAAAGTGTGTGCATTTGGCTATGTCTGTGATGTCATGTGCATGTGATGTAATGTTGTGTGTATGGTAAGTGTGATGGTGATGGGGTGTGTGTGTGTGTGTGACGTCATGTGTTGGTTTTCAGTGTGTCTTGCTGATTTTTTCACTGTGTGTTTGTGTGTGTGTGTGTTTGTTTTTTCAGACCATCATCTCAGACCTTCAGCAGCTGGAGGAGTTGATCCACTCACACACACTCGCACACAGCAGCGGTGGCTCCTGATATGATGCAGTTTTCTCACATGTGTGTGTGTGTGTGTGTGTTATTGAGTGAGTGTGTGTGGATCTCCTCATGATGATGATGTTTTATGTTCAGTGTGTTTGTTCTGTTTTAATCTGCACGATTGCAAATAAACTCCAGAGACGTTGAGCGACGCATCACATCTCTGTTATTTACTGCAACACACACACACACACACACACACACACACACACACACAGGCTTCTTTAATGCCTCTGATTGGGTTTATTTTGAATATCTGTGACCCTGAAAAATAAACCAATCATAAAAGTCCTGTGTTTTAGTTGTGTTGAGATGTGCATGTATGGTTATTATGGTTATTATTATGGTTTATGATTGCACTCAGTGACGTCGATGGGGATAGTGAGTTTATTCTGAAATCCATGGTGAAAATGAGTGGATAACTCCCAACATTAAACAGGACAGAATCTACATACAGAGGCCCGAATGAAAGGTGTTCAGCACGTGTTGTTTTGGTGGCTGAGAAGCACTTGTTAAGTCTGACCCAGATCTATATCTCTATTTATATATATAGTGAGTGTATTTTTATATACATGTGAGGTCAGGCAGACTCTTATCATAGACCCGCATGACTGCGAACACTCCAGATCTGCAGACTGAAAATGCGAAGTTCATCTGTGCACCACATGACCTGATCTCTGTGCTCTGATTGGACAAATAGGCAGTACTGATTACGATGAAGCTGAATAATCTTGGCTTCATCGTTTCTGTTCACCCTCACAAATAATACGCCTGTCAGATCCCGAAAACAAGATCAGACATTGTGTTTTATTCATGTCAGGCGGCTCTGCTGCTGCTGTTTTACCATCTCCATCTCAGAAGTACAGCAGTTATTAAAAATGTATGCTTACTTCAAAAACAGTGTCACGGAGAAACAATACCATGATTCTCTGCGGGAAGAACAGAGTTCGGAGTGTACAGGCTCTTCACCACATCTGAGCCACAGAACACTAGCCTATTACTAGACTCTCAGCGGGCATAACTAGTTTCTCACATGACTAGTCTTTCAGAGTGCATTACTAGTATCTAGTAGCATAACTAATCTCTCACAGGGCAAACCTAGTGTCTCAAAAGGCATAACTAGTCTCGCAGGTCATAATTAGCTTTTCACAGGCTATAAGTAGTGTCTTACAAGGCATAACCAGTCTCTCAGAGGCCATAATTAGTCTCAAAGAGCATAACTAGTCTCTGAGAGGGCGTAACTAGTCTCTCACTAGGCATAACCAGTGTTTCACAGGGCATACCTAGTGTCTCAAAATGCATAACTAGTCTTTCACAGGCCATAACTAGTCTTTTTAAGGCAAAACTAGTCCCATACAGGGCATAATTAGTTCCTCACGGGTCGTAACAAGTGTTTCACAGGGCATAGCTAGTCTCTCAGAGTGCATAACTAATCTCTCACATGGCAAACCTAGCGTTTCAAAAGGCATAACTAGTCTAATTAGCTTTTCACATGTCATAATTAGTCTCACAGGGCATAACTAGTCTCTAAGAGGGTGTAACTAGTCTTACAGGGCATAACTAATGTCTCAAAATGCTTAACTAGTCTTACAGGGCATAACTAGTCTCTGAGAGGGCCTAACTAGTCTCTCTCTGGGCATACCTAGTCTCTCAAAATGCATAACTAGTCTTTCACAGGGCATAACTAGTCTCTTTAAAGGCAAAACTAGTCCCTTACAGGGCATAACTAGTCCCTCACAGGTCGTAACAAGTGTTTCACAGGGCATAGCTAGTCTCTCAAAGGGCATAACTAGTCTCTCACAGGGCAAACCTAGTGTTTCAAAAGGCATAACTAGTCTAATTAGCTTTTAACACACCATAACTTGTCTCTTAGAGGCCATAATTAGTCTTACAGGGCATAACTAGTCTCTGAGAGGGCGCAATTAGTATCTTACTGGGCATAACCAATGTTTCACAGGGCATACCTAGTCTCTCAAAATGCATAACTACTCTTTCAGAGGCCATAATTAGTCCCACAGGGCATAACTAGTCTCTTAAAAGGCAAAACTACTCTCTCACAGGGCATAACTAATCTCTCACAGGGTATGTCTAGTCTCTCAAAATGCATAACTAGTCTCCCAGGACATAAATAGTCTCTCACAGGGCATAACTAGTCTCCCAGGGCATAACCAGTCTCTCAAAAGACATAACCAGTCTTTCACATGACATAACTAGTCTCTCAGTGAGTAACTAGTATTTTATAGGGCATAACTAGTCTTTTATATAGCATAGCTAGTCTTTTATAGAGCATAACTAGTCTCTCACAGCAAAAAAAAAATAGTCTCTTTAAGGACAAACATAGGTCTTTCATATGACATAACTAGTCTCTCAGTGAGCATAACTAGTATTTTATAAGGCATAACTAGTCTCTTAGGGCATAAAAATAGTCTTTTATAGGATAATAACTAGTCTCTCAGTGGGCATAACTAGTATTTTATAGGGCATAACTAGTCTCTCAGAAGGTATAACTAGTCTTTTATAGAGCATAGCTAGTCGCTTAAAGGACAAACTAGTCTCTCACTGGGCATAACTAGTACTTTATAGGGCAAAACTAGTCTCTCAGAAGGTATAACTAGTCTTTTATATAGCATAACTAGTCTCTAAAAAGGCATAACTAGTCTTTCATAGGACATAACTAGTTTCCCAGAGAGGATAACTATTCTTTCACATGGCAAAACTAGTCTTTCAGAAGCCATAACTAGTCTCAAATGAGAGCATGACTAGTTTCTCAGCGCATAACTAGTCTCCCACATGACAACTAGTTTCTCACAAGACCTTACTCTTTTCTCAGGACATAACTAGTCTCTGACTAGGCCTAACTAGACATATTTGTAAAAACATGCTCTTACTGCTTGGTTTATTGCGGGTTTCTCACAGCAGTAAGTGGCTGCAGTTCACTGAATGACCACTGGTGGTGCTAAAAACAAGACTCTGAGCTCAACAGAGGCTCTTCGTGAGTTCCTCATCTCTACATTTGCTCTCGGCTTTTGACCAGTCCATGACTCTCCCTGACTGGAGGATCTCGTACTGGAATGCTTTAGTGTGTGTGTGTGTGTGTGTGTGTGTAACATTATTAGCATCAGTGATGTGCAGCTGATCATATGTGAGAGACAGATGCATGTAAATATAGCAGGAATGCAGACACACTACAGAAACACTGATGCCCTTGATGAAGGTCACACACACGTGTTTCTGTGTGTCTGGACATCAATCCCATCATGCCTCTGCTGATCTCTGAATCTCGCTCCAGTTTAAGCCTCGTCCACGGATAACTGGATAATGTGCTTGATTATTAATGCTGTTTAATCCACTGAAGATTTGATGCTGCAGAAATATTGAGCCGTGATAAACCACATGATCTACAGCCGCCACACTGTCTGCTGTTCAGCTGCTCGTCACAAAACACACACAACTATACACTACCTGACACAAGTTTTAGGATCAGCAGATAATATCTGGTCTTCTAGTTGTTGATTTGGTGTCAGAAGTGTCTCTATGAAAGGTGAAGGCCTCTAGATGAGCTCAATAAATCTGATCATGTCTTGATGTTGACTGATTTGATGAGGACAGTGCGCTCTGACTCTGCTCAGACTAAAGTCTCGTCACTGAACAGAAATAATGTCCAGTATAGAATATAAAGTCCTGCTGCAGTGGAGACAGAATGAAGATTGTGTCTGACTCCATCATGAGCTTGGAGGACTGCATCCATACATCTCTGCACTGACTCACATCACTGATTAATAAAGTCATCTGGAATGAAGAAGAAAGCCTTCAGCAGATCCCAGAGTTCATCAAGAGTCTTTGTGTTCATCTTCAACGCCTCCTCCTTCATCAGCTCAATAATGTTGATGTCTGGTGACTGGGCTGGCCAATCCTGCAGCAGCTTGACCTTCAGGAGCTTTGATGTGGAGGCTGAAGTATGAGCAGGAGCGCTATCCTGCTGGAGAATTGTCCCTCTCCTGTGGTTTGTACACATTAATAGTCAGTTTTTAGATTACCAGTTACATGAAATCCGTCAACTGTACTATATTAATTTAAGTAACTACTTCTGGATTAGCTTCTGCACATTTATCTACTTTTGATTTGCCCACAAATGCAGAAGCATGACTTGATTATTAAGACTGTAATAAGATCTAATCTGAAGTGTTGCATTATTGTAATCTGGTTATATAATTCAGATTACATGTAATCAATTACTACACTGCAGCGCTGAAACCTTTGGATCACTTGTAAATCACCTTTGTCATTAGTTTAGCTACTTTTATTAATTAATTTGTCCCCGAATCCTCAAGCTTGATTAAGCTTTTTTTTCAAATATGTAATGAATTCAATTCGGCCAGTGGTTCTCCAACTGGTATGCAGAGAAATCACTGATTAAAATGAAAAATGAACACGCTTTAACACATACAAAAACAACGGTATGATCAGTAAATTGATTTTAATAGGCTAAACCTTTTATTTTAATGTAAATGTCCTAATGTTTGTCATGTATTCTATCATTTAAAGCTAATCTATTTCCCAGAGATGGGTTGCAGCTGGAAGGGCATTCGCTGCATAAAAAACATATACTGGATAAGTTGGCGGCTCATTCCGCTGTGGCGACCCCTGATGAATAAAAGGACTATTAAGCTGACAAGAAAATGAATGAATGAATGAAGCTAATCTCCCCATATTTGTAACGGTTGTTGGGGTATGTATCTCGTATTTTGACAGGAATAGTAAAATCACTTGCTTCTCTGTCACACAAAGCCTACTCTAACGCGCAGTTAGCAGATCTAATTTAAATATGTAAATCCAATTCATATATTTAAATGTTATTACATATATATTTAAGTTAATGTTTAGATTTTAAAGATATACAAATGTCATATATCAGCCTGATCTCACGAGGAATCGTAAGTATTTCACGTTTTGTCAGTTTAGTGGCTAATTCGTACGAGTTCAGTCGTATGAAAATGTACAATTTTAAAAAGGAGGCGTGGCACTTAACTCCACCCCTAACCCCAATCGTCATTGGGTGATGAGCAAATCGTACTAAATTGTACGAATTAGATCGTATGAATTCATACGAATTAGCCACTGAATTAAAAATGTACGAATTGCCGTGAGATTGTGT